TGACGCGGCGTCCACGGCTCCATTGATGGGACAACCCTATTTAGGATCCGGATCATGTCGGCTCGTGGTCTAAAGTTGAAGTTGATCAATATTGACCACGAAGTTGGCAGTTGGTTTGCCATCAAAAACACTCGAATAAAAGATGATAATAACTGTCATAGTTCTTTTAGGATTATTATTCAACAACAAGAAGCAACGCCCAGGTCCCAACTACGATTTCTCGGTCAACCCGGGGTCCGATTCAAGAAGATTGCACTACTGTGGCCTTCTGAAGCGCATCCAGATTGTCGGGATCATTCCTTCGCATACCATGTCTGGACAGTACACCCTTGCAAGACCGTATGGTATGGATGCGTTACGGAACGAGTTCCTTTCGGCCTATAGTGAAACGATGATGCCCTCGTTCGACTCGGGGCCAGGTCATTACGAAGGTAAGCTTAGGTGATTCTTTTGCTATCATATTTGTCGCGTTCGTGGTTTGCTCTCGTTGACTTTCCCATGCTCAGAGATTAACCTGGCTTGTTACTTTTCTCTGATACTGCTCAGATTATTATCTGAATCCTCTTCAATCACCCGAGTCCCAAGTCGCAGCCAGAGTTTCTACTTTCACTGTGTGAGCCTCCCAGACAGCCCTTGAGTATGTCGAACGTCTCCCAGTCATTCGGTGGCCTTCCAACGTCTTCTTGTCGGAAAAAAACGAATCTGATAAGATGAACCAATCTTATAAGGCGCCTATCAGGCCTTATAATCACCTTATAAGGCAGTTATGATAAGGCCTAATAAGACCCTTAAAATATTTGTTCAGGTCACAAGGCAAGAAGGTAAATTTGTTGTTTCCGGCATCGCTTGAAGTTAGCAGAAGTTAGTTAGCGGATAAGGGAATGTAAGACGAGTCGGATCCCGGCCCCTGCCGGCGCCGAGTCCTTGGATTACACTATGCCAAGGATGGAACAGATTGAAGTTAACTTCTACCTTCCTCGGAAGTTCCTCCCGCGACCGGTCCCTGGTCTAATCCTCTCCCGGTCACCACTGTTATACAATCGCTCTAATTATTCTCTGCCACATACTTCTGGACAAGGACAGACTCCTGTCGACGTGGTTGTCGGAAAGAAACCCGACGGCGGACTCCCGCCCCTCCCGGGCCCTCCGGTCATACAGTAGTAGCAGTACCTCCTCATCTCTTCTCTTATTTGCCCGCTTTCCGGTTCACTCGTGAATATACCTGACTGATGACTTTGCCAGGGTTCTCGTGGGGCGAATCCCATATTTGAAGGAATGAGATCCCCTATAATTCACACACCCGTGACGAAATGCAACGTTTCGGTTGAATTTTTTCGATTCTGATTGAGAAAATGGCGATATATACTCGCCTTTCAAATGGAGATGATTGTTCAACGGACAGGCGGCACATCCTTTTCCGCTCCAAGTAGTCACTGCGTTCCGGGCCTTCCTAAACTCAGCCTGAGTCTAGGTCTCCTAGCAATAGATACACAGAGGACTATGGCTAGGCAACTAAACACAGTCTTTTTTGGCTCTGCTTGGCTATGTATAGGTGTGATTCGATCAGTGTGTGTGAGTCTAGATCAGTGTGGGTCAGCGTAGCCCTTCCTAGTCACCTACGAAGAGCTAAACATATATCAGTTGGCTTGAATGAAATATTATTTGTGGATTTACAGAGAAGGTCGGTGGAGGTCAGTGGGGGTCCATAGGGTCCATGAGGTCGTAATCGGCTAAACTGACCTAAGCTGATCCTGTTTAGCCGGACTGATAGCGGCTAGACATGAGGCGGGTGCACTCAGCTCGCCATAAGATCCGTTTAGTCGCCCAGACAGGGTCTGTCTGGAGACTTAACACACCTAAACAGAGGCGCAACCAGCTAGACTGATCTGAGTCTAGGGGTCCCCGGAACGCAGTGAGTCTACTAGTAATGAACTGGCGCGAGTATTTCTCCGCTCAGATTTCGAAATCGACAAGCAGACGTAGCCCATGTGCCGTGAATGTGAACAGTCATATGAAAGTGGTATGAAAGTTTAAAAAGTGTGTTGGTCTCTCCATGATCGTACGCCTACCCCGGATCAAACGGGTCAAGTCTGCATGTACGTCTCGGAAAGGAATCCGGTTTTGGAGATGCAGGCCATCGTGCTATTGAGAATAACAGCAAAGATTTCCGTAGAGGGGGATGAGCTTCGCCCGGTTTCATTTCGGTCGAGTTCAACCAGAAATATGTACCGCGGATGGACGAAAGGCACTAGATTCGGGGGAACCTTGCTCCGCATTCAGTGGAGGGTGAAGAATAGAAGCCATAATATGGCTTGAGACTCGGGTTGAGCGGTTCAATTTTACTGAATCAGTGTCGGAAAAATCCTGTTCGGCTTTAAACCAAGCCGTTGCATGCTGATTGGATTTTTCCCGACACGATTACCTTCCTGGTTGTATATAATTCTTGCCACAGAATTGCGTCAAGTGCTTGAGTATCGGTGAACCCATAAGATGCGAGTTCCCAAAGAGCTCGCAGTCTCGGGGCGTGCCGAAAGTGAGCCGCCACAAGATGCCGAGATCATGCAGGTGTAGTGTAATCTTGAACCCGACTTGAACCAATATTTTGACATCCACGGCTCGCCTGCTGCCTGATCGAGTTGGAATGAGCTCCAGATTATTATTCGGGGCAATTGTCATTCAGATCAAAGCGGCCCAAGCGTCGCGGTGATGCGCTTTGGCCGTCGCATCAATGCGGCCTGGTTGGCTCGACTTCAAGAATTGTTGTACTGCAGTGCTAAAAACCTTCAGCCCCATCGGAATCCCTTTCGAGGCGGGAAGACACGGCACAAGAAGCAGGTATATTACTGGCGAGAATACGGGAGACAGGGCTTGGACAATACCGATGCGTTCTGCGAGTTGGAGGCCCCAACTCAAACAAAAATGACAATAACCAAAGCGCAGGTCAAAGTGTCGCTGGTCAAGATGAGGTGTATAAGAAGAGCGAGCACTGGTCCCTTTGCGCCACCCATACAGACATGTCTTGCGCTCCAATCACCTCCGAGCCCCCATGCCAAGTGCCAGCAAATCCCCCACCAGATTCGAGCCACTCAACCGTCATGCTGCACGGCGACCGCACGGCGCACTGGATTTCGGTTCTACACGACGCGCTCCCGGTCGCGCTGCGGCCGCGCAACTTTGTAGACCAAAAGACGTTTACACGCCGCATCTACGTTGTCGAGAGCGGTTCGTCCTTTCCTTTCTAATAAAAGGGGGCGCTACTCATCCAGTGAATAACTCAGCCATAGCGCACCTCATCAACCTGATGAACGCCGGGATATCGCTACCTCCGTCGGTGTTTATCAAGTTCGCAGACCGCAAGGAGCAGTACACGCAGACTGTCCTGCGGCTCAAGCGCTTGCTGGGCATCGGGCATATCCCGTTCCTCAGCGCGGCGGACGTCTTTGAAGCAGGTTCGTGTCCCGTTAAATTAAACTTCGCTTTCAGCAAGAGAATGTTTTACTGATGGACGCACGATCTATAGCGTATGTGCGCATCCGGGAGCTCGAGTCGCGGGCCCCAGCGGCGGTGATAGACCTCGACGCGGAGATGACCGCCGGCCCGCTGGTGAGGGGAACGCACCGCGGCACGCGCCCTTCGCACACTTCGGTGCCTCGCCCCGGGCCCTCGCCCCCCAAGTCGGCGGCCGCGATGCAACCGGTCGTGCTCGAGTCGCGGGCCCCAGCAGCGGTGATAGATGTCGACGCGGAGATGACCGCCGGCCCGCTAGTGAGGGGTACGCACCGCGGCGCGCGTCCCTCGCAAGCTTCGGTTTTTTGCCCCGGGCGCTCGCCCCCGCAGCCGGCGGCCGCCGTGCAACCGGCCGTGCAACCAAAACGCCAAATAATTCCTCGCACCACGGAGTTCTTTGAAGAGAGTATGCGCCTGCAGGAACCTAGGATCGCAGCTGCCCGGAAGAAACTGGGGATCACCATGCAAACTGCGGCTCGGAGAGGAATTCCCCGGCCTGCGACCTGGAAATCGGGTAGACTACCGTCGGGGGCCTACACGAAGGAGTTCCTCGAAGCGAAGGCGTTCTTCAACGAGAGTATGCGCTTGCAGGAGCCGCGGCTCGCAGCTGCCTATAAGGAACTGGGGATCACCAGGCGGAGCGTGACTATCGCGGCTAGAGCGAAGAAGGCTGCGGACAAGGCGGCTAAGGCGGTCGAGGGTGCGGCGCCGGCGCCTGTAGCGACCTTGGGATTGGTGCAGGAGCAGGAGCCGAGGGTGGGTACCGGATGGGCGGAGGCCTGTGAGCGTCGAAAAGCGGCGGGTGTGAGATGTCTCGCACCTATCGTCGCCGCATCATCATGTGTGTCGGGACTACAGGATGGCCCCGGGTGCACGCTTCCTTCGATCCAGTACGTGCTGAAGGACGAGGCTCTTGGGTACATCGACCGTCTTGCGATTGAGATTCGGGACTTCGAGATCAGTGAAGGATTGAAGAGGAATTGAGGAGGGTGGATCACAGACATACTCACTGTATATTCGCGTGTTAATTAATTGGCTGGTTCGGCGCCATGCAATAGAATGACTCACCATTTCGAGGTTCAGCATCAAAGTTGAAGACTAGCTAAAGGTACTAGGAGGTCAGTGAAATATTTCTGAACCTATAATCCGTAGCGAAGTCGGAGATCGAGCGAGAAAGTTACATAGAGACTGTGTCTCGGTGTTTTTGTTCAAGGATGTAGACAAGGATAAGGAGCTCCGTAGTAGACAGGGAACAAGAAAGCCCAACGAGACGACGAGATAGATCCGCGCCTGAGCGACATAGAAGCTAGCAATGCCGACAAGCTTCCTGATCCCTAGCATAGTTCATTCATTTGCACTCCATATGCCCGGAGGTCTCGTGAATAGCCATGCCAGACAGAATGTCATTACACCGGTATCCCGGATGCTGCAGATCATCATCTAGATACTCAAGAAGATCGAGGAAAAAATATTGCATTCTCAAGAGTCGTCAAGGCCGTCGGGAGGAATCGAACCTCCGCACAACTCGTATCAATCCGTTTCGCCTCTAGGTAACGAGAACGACCTGCCTCTGGTCAACGACGGCTTCCGCATAGGGATGGGTGCGGGTGGATGAGGGGTATTGCGGAGCGGACCACGTAAATTCCTCACCAACATATCAGCAACCCAGAGTTCCACGTGAATTTCAGGCCGAAGAGTCGAGGGCGTGGTGAGCGCAGTCCATTAAATGACGACGTGGAACAAGCTTTTGTGCGCCCAGATCTAGGAAGCAATTGTTGCGAATCAGCTCCCGAGGCCCGTAGCTCCCAACACCATCCCGAGGAATATTTATGTCGCCCAGAAGTGCAGCGCGAGTCAGATGGATGATTCCTACCCGCAAACGCTTGGGCTCTCCTGCTTTGCGAACAACAAACGGGAGTACTTCTCTGTTCTGCACAACGGTGCGCCACGAGACTGGTTGCCAGGAGGTAGGACGGATCTCGAGATAATCACAAGCTGGATTCAAGCGCATTTTGATGTCGGCTTTACAAATAGAGCCTCTCAAGGCCCCCGGTCACTTACGCCTAGGTCGGTCCGAGATAGAGTAAATCAGTGCCCGAAATTTGGTGTTTTCGGGTCCGTGGTATAGAGTAAATCAGCATCCAGACGGGCAAACTCGGTCTACCATAGAGTAAATCGCGCCGCAGGCGGAGATTTTGAGAAGCATTGGTAGCAAAAAAATTACTGAAACTCACACATTGATCTAGATCCTCAGCCACAACGGTTGGGACCGCAAATACGGACTAAAAGTTGGGAAATGGGCCAAAAAAATGCCGCGAGGTGGAAAATTGAATATTTTTGGGGTAAAAATCGGTCCGACATAGAGTAAAACAGCCCTCGAAAGGCCAAATTTCATAGAGTAAAACAGTCAAAATCTTTGTCGAAAATCGGACCGACCTAGGCGTAAGTGACCGGGGGCCTGCCTCTCACCAGGGAACAGCGCTGAGCGCTAAGCGCTTAGCGAAACAGTCGACAGGGGTCATGACGATGGCCCGGTAGGTAGGTAGGTAGGTAGAATTACACGGCCGGTCCCGCTGAGGAAAGCTCGAGTAATATACCCGCCGCTGGAAAAGTCACTGGCGGCCGCCGGTGGCCGCCAGTGGCCATTGGCAGATGTTGATGGACAGTGTTTCACGTGGTGTACCAGTGGGCGCCAAGATAAGATACGGATTCCGGCGATCACCATTGGTTTTCACCGGACCGCCGCGTCCCCGATCGCCAGTGATTGCCACTGGGGTCCACCGTACGACAGTGGCGACCACCGGAGGCCAGTGACCAAGAATGGGTTCATGAATAGCTCTTCAGCCATAAGCTGGACACATTTTATGGACCCACATGCATGCACGGATACGAGTAACTTACCTTTTTTTGGCTTCATGTATATTTTGTTAGTATGTGGAACTATTTTGGCTCTAACGACTCAGAAACTAAATTATCAATTAGTCAGGTTATAAGAGGTTTGAAGAAAGCTTATCACAAGAGTTTTGAGCCTCTACATGACCGCGTCAGACCCAATTGAACCTTATGTTTGCTGTATCCTAGCTTGAACCTACCGTGACATTCAAAATTATATTTATTTATCCCAAACAAGCATTTATAGGTGTTCTGAATTAATTCTATAGTAATTCAACACGTATTTACATCTATATTGACGCGCAATCGGATCTGCTGCCCTGAACAAAACCCAACGAATGTTTACGCGTCACGTCACGTGGTATTCCGATCAAATGCCGATGCGCGTTGACTTCCCCGGTTCCCGAAATGGTCTCGGAGGCAATGAGTTGGCCAGAAATGCATGGGCAACTCCATAGGAACTTTGTTCTCAATGAGCCATAATAGATTCCACTGGCCCACCCGAAAGGGTTGGAACTGCTGAAAACCGCGAAGGATTTTACTGGCTCACGGAAGGAAATTCGCCAGCGTGAGCCAATGAGGACCAGTGTGAACCGAGGGAGTTTGAACAAAATTATCCACCCACTTCAAGCTCCAACCATTGAAATCCGGTGGCTCGTACTGGGATTCGGTGGCTACTATTCATTCTGCCAGTGCTATGACCCAATGACTCACAGTGAAGTCCAGCAAAAATCAATGGGGAACATCGGTGGAGATTACCTTGGTACCTTAGCCAACGAAGTCCAGTGGCCGCCAGCGGCGGCAACGTTGTGCGCCACCGATGGCCATTGAAACTTCATGGCCGGCCAGCGGCCGGCACTGGTTACTGACATCAGCCAGTGCCGAACAATGCCGATCACCCGAGTTGACAGCTCCGCGTTAATACTGCGGAGCTCTGGTCACACGATTGCCGAGCTCGGGGTCTCGCTCGGATCACGCCGCAGCGGTCATCACGTAGTAGCCAATGCTTCTTGTCCCGAACGCTCATGTCGCGCGACCTTGCACGATACGCCTATCCGACCCGACGTCAATTTAGTTCCATCCCTCGTTTCCCGGCGATTCATGTCCCGAAGGACCCCCGTCGGCTCACCCTCTAAATTCGCCCTCAAGTATGTCTCCCCGCATGCTCCTAACTTACATCCCCTCGCATTTGACGACCACGCTCAAGTCTTTAGAACTCTCACCTCGATCAGACCCGATGGTGGGTACCGGATCCGCGTTGTGTGTGCTTTATGGTGTCGCACTTACCAGCGGAATAGTCCCCCGTTCGACTCGGTGTCGGGTCTTGATCAGGGGAAAAACCATTTTTGCTCGATTGTCCGGCGCGTCCTCCTTGTCGACGCGTTTCAAAGGAGGCCGAGCCTCCCTTACTCAGCACGACTCGATGAACTTCCTCGGATCGGATGTTCACTCGTTCTGCACTCCTCCCCCGTCCTCCTACCTTCTGGAGTCCTCCGATCCGGCATCCTCGTCTAATCTCCGATGGGTAGGTCCACATTCCTGCTACGTTTAAGTTATATTCACGTGCTCGCGTAAGGAAGACCTGTTCGACTCGGGTTCAGATCGTTAATCGACACCAACTGTTTTTAACTATTTCTCGGCCCGATTACGAGCTCGCATATGCCTTTGGTTGAATTTGGGTAGAGAATTTGAGATCCTGGCTTTCAGCTGAGTCGATTTCGCTGCCGGAGTCCCATAACCTCAATTCTAAAAAGGGAATTCCTGAAACAATCTGCGTGAATTTGCAACAGGGAGTCGAACTCTTGGCTGCGTGATGTCCTTTATGTCAAGGTGTGCAGTGTTCTCATCGGGCCCGATCAATAATTGGGGGCAAGTGTTTGATTTGACCTGAACGCAACGAGTGGGAACGAATTTTGACTATTGAGTATTCGGACGCCATAAATATGTTCTAGAACTAGGAGAATCGCGCAGTGCGCTTCCATCTTGCGAATCGCGGAACGAGTGCAGACCCGGCTCGGGAGGAGCTAGAAGGACGGCGCAACATCAACAAGTGGGGCGGTGGGCCATCAGCATCATGAAAGCTCCGTAAGGGAGAAGCCCGTCAAGACTGTTGGTTTCCGCTCACTGTACCTTGCTTCCTTCGATTTGCATTGGTTGGGCGATACTTCCATCATCCAAGGTGCCACCCAGTTTAGAAATGCTGAGATAGCACCAACAACTGACGCCATTATTCATCAAGTCAGCGTTGACCGTTATTTCTGTGACAGCTTCTGTTTACGAATTCAAAAGGTCTAGATGAACTACACACGTGTTTCACAGCCCTTTGAGCGTCGTTCTTCTCACTGGGTCGAATAGTGGAACTTTCGAGGGAAGAGGAACTTGAGCGATCGGACGGCATCTGAATTCGCTCTCACATCTTTTAGGGTTGCCCACCGTCCCGTCAACGGGTGTGGCCATCAATGTGCGATGCCGAGACGGGGACAAGCCGTCAAAAAGCGGCCGTGTATTCATATGCTCGGCTTCTGAGACGGCACGGGACGGCAAAACGACAGCCGTCAGCCGTTAAATAACGGACAACTAATGTTCGCGAATCTCATGTAACATCAGCCTTGATCTGCGGAGGAATGCTTTGGATCGCACCTTTCCCGATAAGCCACGCAAAGGATTCTTGAAGTTGAAAAATTCTGAAGGAAGAAGCCTCGGCAGGACCCACTATATAACGTGATGGTTAAATAAATTCTATGGACCACCTGAAGGAACTTAGTACTATGGGTCTCAGTGACAATCTTTGATCATAGGTGGGTATTTTGGCAAGACATTTCCCACTGCCTCCAATAAATTCTACAGAATGAACCACGAAACCCGTTGACGGCCGTCAGCCGCAGTACTTTGACGGGATGGACGGCAATTTGCCGTCCCATTCCCGTCCCGTATATTCCGCCGAAAAAAGTCTCGACGGAACGGGACGGGCTTCCGTCGACGGTCCGTCACACCCGTCGGGACGATGGGCAGCTCTACCCTCTTTCGTAGAAATGTTGAGACACCACCAACAACTGGCGCCGTTATCCATCAAGTCTGCCTTGACCGTTACTTCGGTGCGCCTTCTGTTTCCGAGTTGAAAGAGATTAACTACACGTGTTTCTCAGCCCTTTGAACATCGCTCTCCGGACGGCATCTATATTCGTGCATTCGTACATTATTCCCCCTCTTTCGAAAAAATGTCGAGATACGACCAACAACTGACACCATTATTCATCGAGTCAGCATTGATGGGCATTTCGGGGCGCCTTCTATTTTCGAGTTGAAAGAGAAGAACAACCCGTGTTTTTCAACTGTTGTCCTCATCTTCGGAATTTTCGAAGAAAGGGGAAATTCGGCATCGGACGGCATCTGCATAAGTACACTCTTCCCCCTTTTCCTCACGGATGACTCTAGTGCGATTCGAGGTACTGAAGTTCAAGTCCGTGTCTTTTGGCCCCTCAACGATGAAGCTCACATTTTGGCAAAGAATTTTGGGCGGCACCGAAAATAAGGACATGGTAGTGGGGCCTCTGGCGTGGAGCACCGGTATGGCTAACCGCTCGTTGAGGAGCTACATCTGAGCCTACGGCGACCATAGAAGACTCGGGAGACGGTGATGATATTGACAATATCTAGGTCTATCATCCTCAACTATACGGCCTAGGCAAAGAA